CATTTCATGATTATTTTAATCTGGTCAATGCTAGCTTCACCAAAGAGCAATAAGTCATCCGTGAAGAGTAGGTGAGAGATTGGAGGGCCACATTTACCAGCTGACATAGGCTTCCATTCCTTTCTATCCATTGAATCCACTATTAGATGGGACAACTTTTCCATACACAGAACAAAGATATACGGGGAAATAGGGTCCCCTTGTCTTAGGCCTCTGCTGGGGGATATTCTACCCGATTTAGCACCATTCCAGAAAATCTCTAATTCAAATGAAGAAATATACTGCATGATGAGGTTCACCAAATAATCTAGGAGGTTGATCTCGATTAACACTTTTTGTATGAAGCTTCAGGACATTCTATCATAGACTTTCTCAAGATCGATCTTTATAGTGAAGAAACCCCTGTTGCCTTTCATTCTGTTCATGGAGTGGACCATATCCTGAGCAATGACAATATTATCCTGTATTTGCCTATTAGGGACAAAACTGACTTGTTGAGGGGAGATAAGTTTATTCAGAATTGGCTTCAGTTTCCCTACTATGATTTTGCTTATTCCTTTATATAAAACTGAGCAGAGGGCTATAGGCCTAAATTGGGATATTTTGTCAGGTTTGGCCAGTTTAGGAATAAGCACTAGAAAAGTTTTGTTGAGATCCTTCACCTCAGTTGGATTCTTCCAAATCTGAGTGACACACTCCACCACTTGGTTTTTCATAAGATCCCAATTTTTCTAAAAGAAAAAGGCAGGAAATCCATCTGGACCAGGGGCTTTCAGACCATTCATGGAGAAAAAAGCTTCCTTTATCATAACCTCCAAATAGGGTCATTCAACAACTTCATTTCTGTTTCTTCCAAAGCAGGCCAGCTGGCTCAAGTAATGACCCAAGGTCTATTGCGAATCTCCTCTGTGAACAGATTTTTGAAAAACTTGATAATAAGCTTTTTCAGATTCTCCTCTTCTCTCACAGGGTGACCCTCATCATTTTTCATTTCAAGAATTTTGTTCCTAGCTCTCTTGATGATTGTAGTGGTATGGTAAAATCTAGTATTTCGATCACCATCAGCTAGCCAATTGCACCTCGCTTTCTGGAACCACAGAGCTTCTTCTTGATCCATAACCCGGCTCAATTCTCCCTGAAGGGCCCTATCTAACTCAGAATGAACCTGATCCTGCATACTGTTGGTGTTCAGTTGAGTTTCTTGAAGCCTTTTTAGAAGATAATCTTTTCTAACCTGAATGCACCCAAAGACCCTTTTATTCCAAGATTTCAAAGGATTAACCAGAGCTGACGGACTCTGATTAATATTGCACCGAGGATTCCACATAAATCTAAGAAAGTGGGGAAAATATGAGTGCTCTTGCCAAGCTGCTAGGAACTTGAAAGGCCTCTCCTTCCAAGACATCCTATTTGGGATTAGTGAGAGAAGGAGCGGATTATGGTCAGAATTGAGCCGAGGTAAGGATCTCACACTAGCTTCTTCATAAGCAACTCTCTAGTCTGCATTTACACAAATTCTGTCAAGCCTTTTGAAAACCCTATCCAAATGCATCCACTTGGGGGCCCTCCAAGTAAAATTCGAACCTCTACAGCCCAGGTCCATGATGTTACAATCATTTAAGAATGACGAGAATTTCTGACATCTAGCAAGGTTGACAGGGCACCACCTTTTTTCTCACAAACCAAAGCTATTTCATTGAAATCACCCATCAAAGCCCAAGGACCGACTACATTATCAGTGATTCTCTTGATATTTATCCACAGATCCTCTCTAACTTCCTCTCTAGGATTAGCATAAACCACAGTTGGAAGGAAAGAACTCCCTGTGTTGACATAACAAGACATGTGAATAAATTGACTATTTTTCTCAATGATAGTAATTTTGAAAGACTCTTCCTTCCACATAATCCAACAGCATCTTCTATGGCAAACTGATTGAACCCAAGTTGCTTTATTTTTTTCTGGGCAATAACCCCACTTATTCTAGGTTCTAGGATTTCTACCAAGCCAATCCTATATTTCCTTATGAAATTACTAAGGGATTTCTTAAAGGATTTCTTAGCAGCACCCCTGCAATTCCAAACAAGGCAATTCATTGGATAACTGAATCAGGTCCAGAGTTGCAAAGCCCCTGGTCACTTTCTGTCATATGCACTGCATCTGAGCATATATTATCCTTCTCCATATCCATTCCATCAGTACTTTCACGATCAGGAGGCTCCTCTGGTTTTAATTGGTCTTCACTACTGGCCTTTGAGACCACCATATCCGAAAGCTGGCTCTCCTCAACACACATCTCACAAGTAGCTACTGGGACAACCCTGCCACTTAGATTAGTTGCAGCAATCTTAGAACAAAGATCCTTCTCTTCCTCTAAAGGCTTTGTACTGACACCAGAACGGGCAGCTGAGACAGAGGGGTGTTGTCTCTGTTGAACCTGTTTTTTCAGTTTACTGGATGAAGGGAGCTCTAGGGGGTAGAGCTTTTTCCCACTGAAATGGGTTCAGAGGCAAAGATAAAAGTGTTTAAATTCTCTGGAGCCTTAGATTTATAGTTGGGTTTGCCACTTGTCTTTTTTAGATTTAATGGAGTTTTCCTCGCCGATGTGGAGGAATTGACCTACCCACTTTATTCTCTTTACTCACAAAGCTCTTGGCTCCTACAGTAGCTTTAGGAGTAGGGCTCTTCATAGCTGACGGCCTGCTACTATTCTCTATTTCTTTTTTATACTGGTTATGTTGGTTTTTGTTGGAGATATCAACTCCAAAAGATCTTTCTTCCTTTCCTTCGAATCTTTTAGGTTGTTGGCTCTTTGGGAATTTCTTCATCTGGACCACCATCCAGGGTCCCACTCCATGATTCACAAGTGGAGTCTCTTTTTCTATGACCGGTTCCTGAGCTTTGTTGTTTTCTGTAGGTTTCACAAAATCTGGGCATTTTTCAGAATTATGCACATACCTGCCGCATTGGAGACAAATCATATAGAGATCTTCATATTCTACCTTAAAGATTTCATCCTCCAGAATATATTCCCCCCTCAAAGGTCTAGCTAGATCCAATTCAACACAAACTCTAGCATACTTCCCTCTATCCCCCAATGAGGTAGTTTTGTCAATCTTCAACACTTTACCAATTGAATTCCAATAAACTTCAGAACAGAGACACCACAATACTCAAGAGGAATACCTGGTAGGCGAATCCAGGCTGCTACTCGATGGACAGCTGTTGTGTGAGGATTAAAGAAAGGTTCCCATTTTCTTAAGGCCAGGTAATGTCCCATGAGGATCCAAGGTCCCCCTGATAAGGCCAAGTTAAGGTCTTCCAAGCTCGCAAACTTCACAGAGAAAAACTCATTTCCCAGGTCGACTACTGTTATAGAGCCCGATTTCGCCCATTAGCTCTCAAGCTTTTTCTTCATGTACATCACTCCAACTTTCTTTCCCAAAAGTTTCACGATAATAGCATTTCTCCATGGATGTCGCAGCCTCTGTTTTGCTTCTCTAGAACACCTGAACCAAACTGATCCATCATCGTAGATAGTCTGGAACCCCAATTCGTTAATAACTCCTAGCTTGGGATCCAAAGGCTCGTTGTTATCTCCCTCAGTCTCTTCCTGCCAGGTATCATCCTCTCCCATCGAATTTCCTTCTGCTCGGAGAGCTTCCGCGAAAGACTTGGGTTTCCCTGACGGAATTCGCTCCATTATGTTTCCTAAGCTCGCTCCTCTGTTCGAAGAGTCCGGGGAGAATTCCTCCCCGTTCTTTGACCTTTTGACACTCTTTCGTATACAATCCTTTGTTTCGACTTCAGAAATTAGTGAATCTTCATTGCTGCCATTTAAGACGCTGATCTTGCCCTAACAGAGACCTAACCCATTTTGTTGTTACTTTATATTGAGTATTTGATTTTCTATTTAGATGATGTTAAATTATAATTTTTACTTTAGTTAATTATAATTAATTATATAATAAATAAATAAAGGGTTTGGTATTTGTCATTTTAAATGACATAAGTTATGTCATTTTAGGAGAGAGATAGACACAGAAAAACGAAAATCATTGGAGAGAGAAAGTGAGTGGTTTTTTTAATTTAAAATTCAAATTTTCTGTGTATGTATCTCTCTTAAAATGATATAACTTTCTGTCATTTAAAATGACAAACACTTTTCTCATAAATAAATAATTAAAAATAACAAATAGGTGCCAAGGCAACTGCTGCTTGGATGTACGCCATTGTATGTAGGGGTGTTCGCGGTCTGGATTGGATCGGTTTTGGAAGCAAAACTCATCCGATCAAATCCCTTCGGTTTGATCATGTAATCATCCATTCGGTTTAGATTTTTTTTCAAATCCGATCCGATCCAATCCAATTTTTTTCGGTTTGGATTGGATCGGTTTTCGGTTTTTTGAATATCTTAAAATTAGTCTCATGATTATTGTGCAAATAACATCTTTCATATATATTGGCTTTGTAAAAAAAAAATTTGAAATACAAAAATATCAGTAAACATTTCTATAGTTGATGAAACGTGACTAAGTTTTTTCTTGGGTTTAGTTTATGAGTTAATGAGTTTTGAGTTTAGAAATTTTTGGGCTATGATTGGGGAAAGGACAAGTAGGTAGAGAATAATTAATATATTGGATCGGTTTGGATTGGATCGGTTTTCATCAACCCATCCAAAAACCGATCCAATCCAATTAAAATTTGCGGTTTTTTTTCGGTTTTCAATTTTTCAATTTTCGATTTATTCGGTTATCGATTTTTCGATTTGATTTTCGTGGTTTGGATCGGTTGATGAGCACCCATAATTGTATGTAGATGCGAGAATATGTAATGTGACATTATTCGTTGACTCTTGCTGACATTAACACTTCAGAAGTTTGAACCTACAGGGTAGTGTATAACTGTATATGCTGTGGTACTAAACGACGACGCAGGGTCCAAGCAAGGTCATTTTGAGCTGTTTCATTTATGCGCCGCTGGGTGCGTTTTGCGCGGTGAGTGAGACAGAGAGAAGAAGAAGATGGGGAAGAAGACGAAGAAGCCTGGGAAAGGCAAAGAGAAAACTGAAAAAAAAACTGCAAAAGCTGAAGAGAAGAGAGCTCGCAGGGACACAAAGAAGCTTTCTCCCGAAGACGACATCGACGCCATTTTGGTATAATTCTATAGTCACTAAGTTGAATTAGCTTGCGGTTCTTCTTTCTAATTACGTGAAAATCTTTTTATTTGTTGAATTGAACACAGTTGAATATTCAAAAGGAAGAAGCCAAAAAGAAAGAAGTTCATGTTGAAGACAATGTTCCTGCACCTTCTCCTCGCTCCAACTGCACCGTAATGCCGTTAATTCTACAAATACTTTATTTTACATCTTGATTTTGTTGCCTATTTTATTTCGTGATGTTTGATTCTTCAGCTCACCGTTAATCCGTTGAAAGAGACTGAGTTGATTCTTTATGGCGGTGAATTTTACAACGGGAACAAGGTTAGAACTCAACGCGGTAGTTACTTATCGCGGTTTACATGTTTAATTGAAGCATTCTGATTCTGATTCTGATTTCGAGGCAATTTTTATTACTATGTGAATTTTTGTACAGACTTTCGTGTACGGCGATCTTTACCGTTATGATGTGGAGAAGCTGGAATGGAAATTGATTTCGAGTCCGAACAGTCCTCCTCCTCGCAGTGCTCATCAGGCAGTTGCTTGGAAGAATTATGTTTATATTTTTGGTAATTGATTTGATAAGGCTTTCTGGAATTGTGCATGCTCAGACTCAAGTCATTCATGTGACGGTTATTTTATTTTTTATTTTTTTATTTGTGCTTTTTTTTAGGTGGTGAATTTACATCTCCAAACCAAGAGCGGTTCCATCACTACAAGGTTTGACAGACCTGCATCGTGTTGCCTCTGTTACTTGCAGAAAATGTGGGCTTGCTTTACTGGATTTTTGAAATTTAAAGATGTTGCTTTTGAATTTTGATCTGTGTGTTGTGTAGGATTTTTGGATGTTGGACTTGAAAACAAATCAGTGGGAACAGCTTAATTTAAAAGGATGCCCGAGTCCACGATCAGGACATCGAATGGTATGTTCAAGTTCATATGAAGTCGTTAGTAAGAATGTCAGATTATTAAATCTTAAATTAAACAGGTTTTTGGTATGTTTGTTTTTGAAAATGCATACTATTCCATTTGACTCAAATAACACCTTCCACTGTCTGGATTGCGTAGCAAAGTCCCTCAGATGATTTCTTACCTGTTTGGATCTTGTACACTACATGACATCAAATACTCGAATTATATGAGTTCTGGTACCTGGCAATTCTTAGGCTCCCTTTATCATGGTTATTTCCTATATTTATTCTTTTAATATGCAACCCAAATGTGACAATTGAATCACAATTTATGAGGACATAGCATATTTATATTTCTGTTAGAAACATAGAAGTTAAATGATCCGCATATTTACAGCTTAATTTGGTTCATTTCAATGGGATATTCCAATTTTGAAAAAGCATTACAGCCATATCAGAAATTAAATAAAAAGAATAATTTATTAACTTGTCCCTGAAACTGATTTGATCACTAATATCCTAGTCATGGAGTAACAATAGCCCAATAAATTGTGCAAGATACTGTTATTAGGAACACAGAAGAAGTTTCTTTTGTGCTATTTGGTCTTTAAACAGCTGCAAGGTTGTATTACTTCCATATCTCAATGCCTTTTCAACTGTCCCCATTTAGTGGATGGCAGAAAATGTTATCAAAAGATTTATTTTTTCTTCTTAATTAATTGACTTTTATAATCATCATGTTTGTTTGCAATTGTTAAGAGATTGCAACTTTGTTCATAACATTGTGGAACATTTGTTGATGTTGATTCTTCTTGCTGTCGCTGATTGCAGTAACTAAGATATAGCAACTGTGACTTATAGAAAATCATTGACATTGATTATTCTTGCTGATTTCTTCTCTATTTTATGCATCTTATTTTGGGTACTTTGAGGTTGGTTGCATTACTTATTGCATTGCTGAATGCCCGAAACCTTGCAATATTCTTCCTATCTCTCTTTCCATTTAAACTTTCTCACAGATAAATACGTGAGTTTTCCATCCAACATATTTGTCATTATGTATCCCTTTCTTGTTATTGTTACCTTTAGGAACCTGTTTGTGATGTCATCATTATGAATCTTTATTTTAGGAGTTTATCTCGGCCAACTGAAACCGCCCCCCCCCCACAAAAAAAATATCACATGTGAAACTCACATTAATCCAGTCTTTTGTCTTCATCATATGTTTTTTATATTAATGCTTTGTCTCCAAATTATTTGTTTCCTTTACAGATGTTATACAAGCACAAGATTATTCTTTTTGGCGGCTTCTATGACACTCTTAGAGAAGTGAGGTTGTTGATGCTACTTAATTGATGATTTTGTTTTGAGTTCATAATTCTGTAACTTACATGTATTTGATTTTCTTTCTGTAGTTAAAAAATAAAAATATAAATCTGCACGTGATGAAAAACTTGCAATAGCTAATAGGTAAATGTTTTGTTTTTGAAAAGTGAGTTCTAATATATATTATCCGTGATTCAACTTAGACCTAAGTGAGTCTACAGGCAATTAATTCTGGGAGAAGAATCGGAGTTTGAGCTACAAATAAACTGAAGTTACAGGATTTATTTGGATATTTTCTCTGTTAGTAAATGGATATTGAAGAAAAGAAGAAGTGGAAGAAGTGTTTTATCTGAATAATACTTTCTTGATTCATTGAGAGACCCAATGGGTCCTTTTTATATTGAGTACATCCAACTACCTCAACTACTTTAATAAATATACAACCACCAACTACATCAATAAATATACAACTACCAACTACATCAATAAATACTATCTAGAATATTCTACATATTCTACACTCCCCCTCAAGTTGGGAGATATATATTGATCGTTCCCAACTTGCTGATCAAATTCTCAAAGGTCGGCTTAAGTAATCCTTTGGTGAGGATATCCGCCGTCTGTTCCTTGGTAGGTATATATGTCAAGCATAGACTACCGTCTTCTAATTTCTCTTTGATAAAGTGACGATCAACTTCCACATGTTTTGTTCTGTCATGATGAACAAGATTTTGAGCAATGCTGACAGCAGCCTTATTATCACAATATAATCTGATAGGTAGGGAATAAGAGATCTTCAGCTCCTCCAGAAGCCTTCTTAACCAAATTCCTTCACAAATACCATGGGCTAGAGCTCGAAATTCCGCTTCTGCACTGCTTCTTGCAACAACAGTTTGTTTCTTACTTCTCCAGGTCACAAGGTTTCCCCAGACATAAGTACAATATCCTGAAGTAGATCTTCGGTCCATTGCAGAGCCAGCCCAGTCTGCATCTGTATAGATTCCAATCATCCTTTTGTGCCCCTTTTTAAAGAAAATTCCTCGACCAGGGGTATTTTTGAGGTATTTGAGAATTCTATAAACAGCACTAAGGTGTTTTTCCTTAGGAGAATGCATGAATTGGCTAACCATGCTCACAGCAAAAGCAATATCAGGACGAGTGTGAGACAAATAGATTAATTTTCCCACTAGTCTCTGGTACTGCTCCCTATAACATCTTCCCCGTCCTCAACTCCCATCTTGATATTAGCTTCAATTGGAGTCTCTGCCGGCTTGCACCCAAGCATACCTGTTTCTTGCAACAGGTCTAGAATGTATTTTTTCTGAGTTAAAGAAATTCCTTCCTTACTCCGAGCAATTTCCATGCCAAGGAAATATTTGAGAGATCCAAGATCTTTTAGTTCAAACTGGTCAGCTAAACATTTTTTTAAAGAGGTTATCTCCTCGCTATCATTACCAGTGACAATTATGTCATCAACATAAACGATCAGAATAGCAATTCTTCCTTTGTCGGAGTGTTTAAAAAATAAAGTGTGATCAGTCTGAGCTTGGGTGAACCCTCTTCCCTTAACAGCTTGAGTGAATTTCCCAAACCATTCTCTGGGAGATTTTTTAAGTCCATAGAGAGACTTCTGCAACTTGCACACAGAACCATCCCCTTTTTCAAAACCAGGAGGTGGATCCATGTAAACTTCCTCATGGAGATCACCATTCAAGAAGGCATTCTTAACATCTAGCTGTTGCAATGGCCAATCAAGGTTGGCGGCAAGAGATAGCAGAACGCGGATAGTGTTAAGTTTGGCAACAGGAGCAAATGTCTCCTGATAATCTATCCCATGAGTCTGACTAAATCCCTTAGCAACTAATCTGGCCTTATACCTATTGATGCTATTGTCTGCATTGAATTTTATTGTGAACACCCACTTGCAACCAACAGTTTTCTTTCCTTTAGGTAATGTCACAAACTCCCATGTTCCATTTTTTGTAAGTGCATCCATTTCTTCTAATACTGCATTCCTCCATTTTGGGTCATCAAGTGCTTCTTGGATATTTTTGAGTATCCTGGTACTATCTAACATAGTGTTGAAAGCACGAAAACCTGGAGACAACTTTTCATATGAGATATAATGGGAAATAGGATGAGCAGTGCAAGATCTAGTACCTTTCCGAAGAGCAATAGGCATATCAACGTTTGTTGTACTAGTACATTCAAGTGGGTTGCTGGAACAAGGACTCGAGTCAGGATCCTGGCAGTCTAGAGTATCTTCATGTGTTTTGCGCCTGCTGTAAAATTTTCCCCATTTACCAGGAGGATCACAAGGAGGATTATTAGATTCAGGTATAGTTGCTCCCCCTGTTTCCTTCCCAATAACTCCACCTGTTTCCAAAGGCCAAGGTAAGACAGCAACATCATTTGGTTTCCCAGGCTTATCTTCATCCATACCAATACCGATAGACTCCCCCTGAAGAGAAGTCGGGGAAAAAAAGGATTGTGTCTGGAAACAAAAACCTTAAAAGGTAACTTATAACCTTTTTGATGGAAACAAAAACCTGATGGATTTACAAGTTTGGACCTTTGATGAGAAGAATATGCACAAAAACCACACAGCCAAATATTTTAACACTTATAACCTACCCGAGAAGGCATTTAATGAGATAACAGGCTTAAGACAGCTTCCCCCCACAGATATTTAGGGACATGCATCGTGAATAAAAGAGCTCGAGCAACTTCAATTAGATGGAATGATCATCAATGAAAGTAATAAACCAACGAGCACCCGAGACATTTTTTTCACGAAAAGGTCCCCAAATATCACAATGAATCAATGTAAAGGGAGAAGATTAATGATATTTCTTAGGAGAATAAGTGACACGAGAGTGCTTTGCAAGCTGACAAATATCACAAAGAAGGGAACTTGGCTTTTTATTGATAAATAAGTTCGGCAATAACTTCTAGAGATAAACAAAATTTGGGTGTCCCAACCTACGATGCCATAACAAAACATCATTACAGTCATCTGATAAACATAGAGAGTGGTTAGAAAAAATCCTCTTTTCACAATGAACATCTGTAAAATAGTATAGCCCTTCTTCCTC